TTGAAGCTTCCCAAACCTCAAAAGAGCCCCAGAAGGTGGTGATTTTGCCCCCTCTGGCCTTCATGGGGTCTGGGTGAGCCTCCAAAGGGTCCTAGGTTGTGTTCCATAAGACAGACCTCTCCATAAGGCTCACCAATTTTTAGGAGAAGAAAACAGATTTTTTTCCTGTTTTCTTATCCTAAAAATTTGGTGCGTCTTATGGAGAAGTGCGTCTTATGCACGGGTGACTTGACTTTGACTCAACTTGTGTGTGTGTGTCTGTGTTTTTTTTTAAATAAATCAGACTCTACTCGTGACTTGAAACCCACCCAACCTTCCTTTTTTTCTGGAGAAAAGAGTTTGTTTTAATAGGAACTTGGGACTTGGTAGCAAAGACTTTGACTTGGGACTCAGACCAAATGCTTGCCAACATCCATGTTAGGAACCACACTGGAATGCAAAGAAATGTTTCAGTTGTGTTTGCCAGGCACTGGCCAGTATCATATCTCAGTTTTTCTCTGCTAGTCAGAAAAAGTAGCTCATACACAAAATAACCATTCTAAATAATTCTCATTTTATATCTGCTAAGGGAACAGGTAATTCCCATATACGTTGCAGATTGCTGAGCTTTTGTGTGTGTGAGGAGTCTCCCCCTCAGTTTCAAAAGTCACTTGCCCAGTGGTGGTTATTTGTGATACTTTAGAAATGAAATTTCCAGAACCTACAGGAACAGTTGGAAGTGGGTGTGTGGTTGGTTCTTCACCTGCCATCTAATAACTGGAAATCTGGAAAAAGGTTTCTGTTAATAGCACTTGGGAAAAGGAAAATATAAATAGGTATTGAGATACCACTTATCCCTGCTTGATGTTCCCTAGCCTAAACAATGTTCCTTGATATTAATGTTAATAGGTAAAGGTAAAGGTTCCCCTTGACATTTAGTCCAGTTGTGTCCGACTATAGGGCATGGTGCTCATCCCCGTTTCTAAGCCATAGAGCCAGCATTTGTCCGAAGACAGTTTCCATGGTCACGTGGCCAGCGCGACTAGATATGGAATGCTGTTACCTTCCCACCGAGGTGGTATCTATTTATTTACTCACATGTTTACATCCTTTTGACCTGCTACGTTGGCAGGAGCTGGGACAAGCGATGGAAGTTCACTCTGTCACGTGGATTCAATCTTACGACTGCTGGTCTTCTGACCATGCAGCACAGAGGCTTCTGTGGTTTAACCTGCAGCACCACCACGTCCCGTATTAATGTTAATGCATAGTACTAAAACATTAATGTTTCAAATTCATACTGGTTTGGGAAAAAATTAATTTTTTAAAAAAATAATTTTAAAAATGATGGAATTTAGACTGAATTGAAAATAATAATTGAACTTTTTGGACACATTGCTTCTCAGTCTAATATGCAGAAGTCATCTAAGTGAGATAAGATTTTCATGATAATTAATATGAATTTATTTTCAGTTCCCATATCTTCTTGAAAATTCATGCTACCTTGTGCTGACTCAGCCTGCCATGGATTATCCATCTATAACCTTTTGGCGTATTAGTAGTAACTAAATATTACTCAGTGTACATGCTCCCAACTGCCTGTCCACCCTGCCATCAGTCAGAGTGTCTATTAAAAGCTCCACGGAAGCCCAAGAACTCCACACAACCAAGTACTCCAAACCATAAGATTAAACTTATAAATAACTGCACAGAAAGGTCTAACTCCAACTAATTCTAACTCTTTGAACAACTTAATCTCTATTAGCAGGCAGTTTGAACAAGAAAAAACCAGAAAATAGTGATGGTTGATATAAACTTTGAACCCTCCACCTGAGCTAGTGTCTCAGCAAGCGCAGCACAACTCAAATGGTGCAGTGTGTGCAGTGTGTGTAGATCATTCACTCAGTCAAATCACTCAAGATACTTTGATGGTGCAAACTGATCACTGTGGCTCCTTCTGACAACAGAGGGCCCCAAGGAATTCATCAAAATCTGTCTCTTGGAACATTTCTGGTTGGTCCAATGAAAGATCTGACAGCTCACTCAGAATAAACCTCAAATCCTTTGATGTCATATTTCTACAGGAAACATGGTGTATTGAGGATGTCATTCTAAATGACTATAAAAGCTCTGCAGTTCCTGCAAATTCCTCTAGAGGTTGGGGGCGATCGGGGTGTGTGTGACTAGCCTGCTGCATAGAGATCTTTCTGAAAGGGGAAAGCCAACTGATTAGTAATTTACAACCCTGGGCTATAGCAATATCTTTAAAGCTAAACCTTTCATTCTATGCTATGATTTATGTGCACATTCCATCTTAGAATTCAAACTCTTATTGTGAGAATGCCTGGGATAAACTCTCAAGACTATTTAATTGATTTGAAGATCAAATTCCCCTAAACACATGTAATTATTATTGGTGACTTTAATGCCCATATTGGCCTAAACTGGGAATCTTTCCAACAAACCATACACCTCAATTTAGAAGAATTCCCACAGATGAAAGACAGACATTCTAAGGACCATGTCACAAATATTCAAGGGAAGATCTTTATATATATGATTTTGCAGGTTGATCTCTACAGTTTGAATGACTCTCAGAAGGAAGACCAAATGGGGGAGTTCAATTTCATCAGCCACATGGGTGCCAGTGTACTTGGTTACATTGCAGTCTTCTCATGCATTGTTAAGTGAATTACCAGCTTCGGAGTAGACTCCTATCTGACTAGTGATTATCAGCCTCTAATTCTTCAAATGGATTACCCGGGCAAGCTTCAGAAGACAGTTGGTTGGAACTCTGAGCCAAAACACAGCAATCTACATTTTGCTGTAACTTGGCAAAAGTGAATTTTAGGGATTTAGAAGGTTTATGGCAGTCTGAGAATATGTATGTTTTGAGGGAAACTGGTCTCCTCAAAGGATACCAAAGTAACATTAGACTGCTGTGCCCAGATTATAAAAGCATTCCAACCTTTGCTCCTCCAGAAAGCCAGTCCAAGGCATCCTGGGTGTAGGGTGGGCAACCCTTGGTTTGATTATGACTGCAGGTAGTTTAAAAAGGAAATGAAAATGCAACATAACTTCCTGAAGAAAAATGATATAGTCCATTTACTATTAGCACTATTGATAGAGAAATCCTGACTTCTTTTCTGACATGACATCCCACTTCCAAGAACCAAGCTTACCAGTTACCCAGTTATGTGAATCATAGAGACAACAAAGAAGAACAAGTTGCTCACCTGTAACTGTGGTCCTTTAAGTGGTTATCTATGTGTTCGTAAACACACCTATTCACTTTTGTCTTGCTAATTATAATATACTAATTTGCGGCATACAAGAGTGTGACTGAGGAAAATGGGCAGAACATGTACAGTAAAGAGCAAGGAAAAAAAGGACATGAGGTTAAAGATCTGGAAGGTTCCATGAGGAGTGTTTGTGCAGGCACAGTGTTCGATTCTGTGAGTACATAGCTGACCACTTGAAGAACCACAGTTACGGGTGAGTAATGTATCCATTTGTTTCTATAATTTGATTGAATTATTGATTGAGGACTGCTGCTTTTTCTAATGGCAGTGTACTTGCTAGAAAGGACATCGTTTCTAAGAAGAAAATATGTCAATGCATCCATAAAATAGAATCGTGTTGTTTTTTTATTCCTAGAATATGTGGTCCACGCCATGGTGAAACAAAACAAAAAGAAATTGACTGGGGAAAACGTTGTGTGGATAAATTTGATATAATTGGCATTATTGGAGAAGGCACTTATGGGCAGGTTTATAAAGCAAGAGATAAAGATACAGGTAAGCTTTCAGAAATATGTTTCACATGGAAAGAACCAAAGAATCATTAACAATGTGTGTGTGTGCACTTTGTCAGGATGCTATATATGCATTACTAATTTTCCTTTTCTGCAGCAAAGTCTTTGAGATTATTTCTGGGCTGGCTCATAGACTGATAATGGAGACTTGTGAGGAATATGTTTGTTTGGAGCCACAAAAGACATCAAGGCTATTTCATGTGATTTTTTTTCTAGTTTTCAAAAAAACTTGTATGGAACAGTACAAAAATACTGTTTTTGATAGAAACTCCAAAAGAGTATGTTGTGTAAAATGGTATTCGCTTTAGACACTTGCTTAAGCAGCAGAGAAGAATAGAAAACTAGCTAAATTTGATTGTTTTGTGGTATGTGGAAGATAAATCTACTGTATACAGAAAAATATTAGTACTGTATTAAATTTTTAATTGGTATTTAAATTGATTTGTCTGTTAGTGGCAAGGTGCTATCTGGCTGTTGCTACTGAGAGACCACTAGGTTTGATGGAACCACGTGGATCCAGTAGTGAACGTTATATTTTGAATATACAACTTGTGTAAGCCTGTAATTCTGAATTATGTAGTTGGATTTCTCATGCTATTGCCCCAATCAATTTCTTCTACTTGCTGCATCAAGGTAAGTGAATAAGAAGCAAGTGGTTATAAGGATTATGCTCATACAGTTTTTCTTCCTCTGGGCAACAATTACTCTGGATTATGTGCTTCGTAGTGGTTTGTTACAGGGGTAGTTATGATACCCAGTGACTGAAAAAGAAGAAATCATATATGGCTTTGTAGGAACAATTTAATTTAAAATTTAATTTGCATAGCTGTAATACTGAAAGTGTGTGGTGATGTTCAGGTCCATTTTTTTGTGTAGTAAATAGAAAGAACACACAGACTTTGAGAAATGATTTCCTACTCCCATGTTAAAAGCAGCAGTCAAATAAATGAAATAATTTAAAAATGCCTTTTCTTAGGGGAGATGGTGGCACTAAAGAAGGTACGGTTGGATAATGAGAAGGAAGGCTTTCCCATTACGGCTATTCGGGAAATAAAGATTCTTCGACAACTTAATCATCAGAGCATAATCAACATGAAGGAAATAGTAACAGATAAGGAAGATGCTTTAGATTTCAAGAAGGATAAAGGTATGTGTACAGATATAATGAATTTATTGCAACCTCCTGTTTCACAAGAAGCAGAGGTAATTTTGGATAGGTATTTACATAAATGTAACTATTATTTATATATAAATACAATTTTATTTTAAAAAGTGTTGAATTTTATGTGTGTTAATTATCTTCTGGTTCTTTCAACTTGCTACCAAATTTGGGAAAGGAAAATCATGCTGGTTAGCTTATTCTTTTTCAGTATAATCACTTGTATTTTAATAAAACATATTTTGTTAAATATATTTTATCATACCTTTGACCTGAACAGATTTCAAGGATGACAATCATAAATGAATCAAGTTAAGCAAATAGTAAAATATAGTGTAGTAAGTGGTAGAATAAAACAAAAGCAAAAACAAATCCTTAGGTGACAATGTAGTATTCAGATCAGACATGCATCATTACGGAGACATACTGGATATACTTGATCATGGAATTTAGATATACATTAAAAATGAAACGTGTGCCTAATATTTGGATAGAGTAAGAATTACTGATACATGTATTTAAATCAGTATTAGTATTGCATTTCTCATTTGGGACAATTCCTTTTAGATTTGGTAGTCTCTGTTTTACTGAACGTTAGAAATTGCATGGGCTTAGACCAGCATAGCTCTTCTTACAGCATTACATGGTAATTGGAACACTTCCTTTAATATTAGAGGAGAGATTTTAGATAAGCATGTAATTGATCATGACACAGCTTTTTGTGAACAAGAGTGAGGCTGCTTTTCTTAAGCTTCTTGGTGCTTACTTAAACTGATCTCTTAAGTATCTTCTTCAGTTGCTGTACCACGAGTACTTTCTGTTTTTAAAGCATGAGAAATAATAATTCACATATTACTAAAAACCCTGAAATTCTCTTTACTTACAGAGTGCCAGATGTAAGGATTTGAGAACTTGCGTTGTGAATGCTTGGAGAAGGAAAAAAAAAAGGGGGGGGACATTAAGGGAAAAAAAGTTTCTTACTGCTTTCCCAAGGAAAAATGTTTAGCTGTTCTATTTTAATAGAACTTAATCAACTTTGGTTGATTAAAGCGTCCCCCCCAAGATTAAAATATTTTCTCTTTTTCAGTGAGTGAGAAGCTTTTTAAGACAATGCTTTTATTCACTGAAAGTAGCAGGAACTGTGTAGTATGAAGACTTGTATGCAAGACAGTTAAAGAATATTTCTTTGTGTAGTGGAAACAGGGTGGATAAAAATTAGTGATTTTTAAAAAATCAAATTGATTTAAATCATGTTTACATTTTTAAAAATCATGTTTTAAAATTTAAATTATGATTTAAATCAAATCCACATTTAATGGGACATATGTTTATAATAGGACTCATTTTCAAAATGCATCCATTTGGGTCTGCCAGCTTCATGAAAGGACATATATGAGACTTCACTCCCCCCCTCCAATTTTTAGAATTTTTAAAGGAAAGCTGTGCTTTTGTTTGTTTTGTTTTGTTTTAGTTCTGCAGCCCCAAGAATTTTCCAAGAATTCTGCAGGCAGAATTTTGAGAATTGCATCCCACATAGATAAATCTATAGACATCTTGATTTTACCCCACTTCAGAAAGGATTTCAAATTATTTACCTCTAATGCTACTGCTCCCATCATCTTCCCTGGCATCTGTTTTTTATTTGTAATTAAAAAAAAAACAAGTAAATGTTCACAGTATTTGTTAGGAGTTATTGTTTTGGGGGGAATGTCTTCTATAGATCCTAACCGGCAGTGGAATTGAGTCCAAGTTACTTGACTTACCAGTGAGGACCAAGCCCTCTACTAATTTGGTAGAGACAGCTATAGTAAAAGCAAAGTTGTTCATGTCCCACTGAACACTGCTTGGGGTATAACAGTGACAGTTAAAATATCTCCTTTCTGTTTTCAGTGTTCTGTTTGTCACATGGAACTAACTAAGATATACAGTAGATAGTTGGGTAGCATCCTTTTTTGTTTATTTTTATGCTTTTGTATTTTAAAATGTATGCGAAAGAGTACAATGTAATATTTTAACCAAGATAAGAATGATACATTTTATGTTGTTAAAACCATGAAATAAGTTTAGGTTTGACATTCCAGTAGGTGTTGCATGTGGTCCAAATCCCCCCCTTCTTTTCCTGGAAAGCCTTAGTTTTCCTCCTTGGCTTAATAGTACTTCCAGCATACTCTCCTGTGTCTGTTTTAAAAGTATTTTCTATAATCTTGACATGAAAAAGATGGATGTAACATGAAAAATCCATGGAGTTGCTGATCTGTCCTGTTAGTGCCTTGATATTTTGTTCCTTCAAAAGGTTACTGTGGAAATACACAAATATCCACAGTTTGGTTCGTATTTCTTCATTTCTCCAAAAATAGAGTGCATATCCCTACTTTAATCTGTCGGTTTGAAGCAGAAGCAGGCCATATGTCTGATAGTTACAGTATCTTTGGAATAATTTTTTTTAACTGTCACATTCGGAGTCAATAGACATTGACTGCACTGGTGCCTATAGCCTGGCCTTTGCATTCACATTTACCCATTCACAGGAATTGGGGTTTCGCAGAGAACCAGAAATATGCAAACAGCATCATGGACCTGGACAAAAAATGGCTAAGATTAAAATAGATGGAGAATTAACCAATGACAGAAATTAGAAGAGGCATCTGTCAAGGATGTGCCTTATTGTCATTTCTGTTTAATGTTGTTTAGATAGACATAAGGGCATTAAAGTAAGTAGTGTAGCCTTAAATAATATATGTTGATGGTGTAGTTTTGATAGTTGGAAGCTCAGATGACTTTCAAGTACTGTTAGATTGGAACTGTCAGTCAGTGCCAAACACCCCTCTCCCAAAACAGTGGTAATAAGCAGAGATAACACCAGTAAGGTAAAGGTAAAGGTAAAGGTTCCCCTTGACAATTTTTGTCCAGTCGTGTCCGACTCTAGGGGGCGGCGCTCATCCCGCTCTTCAAGCCATAGAGCCAGCGTTTGTCCGAAGACAATCTTTCCGTGGTCACATGGCCAGTGTGATTTACTGTATCAATATTATGTGTAACAACTCATATGAAGACCATATAGACAAATATGTGTGTCTGGGATATTTAATTAGCAACCACATAGACTGCAATATAGAAATAAAGCAAAAATTGATAAAACTAGAACAACATTTACAAATTAGAATAAAGTGTTTTGTAACAAACTGCTTATTATATTTTTGAGAAGGAGGATGTTAAAAGTGTTCCATATATTTGGTAGGGAATGGAATTTTCAGAGTTCAGGGACTTTCAGTCCCTTAAATGAGTGAGCTCCCCTCCCCCAGCCAATTTATGGAACCTGGAGCCCTCCAAATGGCTGTATGTGGAGCAGCCCCATTACCAACAGTTTTTTGAATGTTAGAAAATTCCCTTCTGCACCATTGGAGTTGTGAGGACCCACTGTGACTCTCAAAGGTGCATGGGGGAACAGGTTTTGATGGAGGCTGCCTCCATAAAGATATACAGAAGAATCATTCACAACCCGTGGTGGTACCTCATTGGATAGGAAAGGAAAGCAAAATAGAGTTATTGAGAAACACAGGCTGTCATATCTGAGACACATAATTTGTTGTGACAATATGTCCTGCAATACATCATTGAATGGAAGATTGAGGGTAAATGTGGAGCAGATAGAAGATGGATTTCTTGGATGAGTAGCATGTGGTTGGACCTTAATAGAGATCAGCTAATCCACACAGCAAGATATAGGTGGAGATATGTCATAAAGATAGCCAATTTCAGCACTGAGGTGGCACCCACAGAGAGAAAGGGGTGTGTGGGGGAATCCATGCCATAATTTGTGGAAGTTTACTTTTCCTTTTGCTCCGAACCAGATGGCTGTGCCACTTGTGAATTATTTGCCCCACACTTTGTTCCTTTTTTGCAGCTCGCAGCCCACCTGCGATCAGATCTGGGCAAAATGTGGCCCTCCAGATGTTACTGAACTGGAACTCCTAGCAATCCTAGCCAACACAGCCAATAATGAGGATTGCTGGGATTTGCAGTTCAGCACTTTGCCCATGTCTGGAAGGATGGAAGAGGAGATTTTACTGGATAAGCTTGGTCTCCTCTCCAACTCTTTGTGATGTGGCCTGAACAGTTTTCATAAGTGTTTAATGACCTGTGCCATGGTGTTTTAAGTTCTTATGTTTAATTAGACAAGATTATGTAAATTATTTTTGTGGTTTGTTTAAGAGAACTGGTGGAGTGAGCTTCTAACTCCCAAGGTCTGTTGGTTCATTGTCTGGAAGACACTAAATGGTAAACATGCTAGTGTTACAGTTATATTAGATAATTTGGATTAAGATTAGCTTGATCCATTAAAAGGTCTGTGAACATAACCATAAAGTTAAAGGGAGATAATATTTCTGTCTTCTGAAAGTTTTGAAAGGTAGCCTGTCTGTACTCTTGAAAGAATTTTGAGTCTTTTGTCTTGTGAATCAGAATGGAGTCCTACTGAACTTTGTTGCCTGAGTAGTGGGTTGCTTTATTCTGCTATAAAGTAGATGTTCTGTGGATCTGCTGCAAGCCTGCTGTTTGGAAAGTTTCCCTGACAGCACTTACAGAATAATCAAAGAGCACTGCACTGTAGAGTTTACTGTATAGGACTTACTTTTTTAGCAAGGTCTCTTTAAGCTACTGTGAACAGGGTTATGGACTGGTGAATTCAGTGTTACTTGTTGCTGTTTAGTTGTTAAGTAGTGTCTGACTCTTCATGACCCCATGGACCAGAGCATGCCACGCCCTCCCGTCTTCCACTGCCTCTCAGCAGGTGATAGAAGAGTCTTGCTGCACAATACATACATTTAGAATATGGAATGTGAGAAGTATTATTCAAGGTAAAGATACCGTAAAGCAAGAAATGGAACATTTAAACATTGCAGTCCTTGGTATCAATGAATTAAAGTGGACTCAAATGGGAAATTTTCAAACTACTGCAAAGTGTTTTTTTCTGGAAATGATAAACCCTGAAGAAACTCAGGCTCTCTAATACTGAAGCAAGAAGTAGCACAGGCAATTAGGGCATATAATGTGAGGTGTGATTGAATAATATCAGTGTCAAAATTACAGTCAAGCTGAAAAAGACCACTAAAAAATTATAGGGCCAAGCTATCATTTAAGTAACATTTCTGATGAATTTAAACTTCATGTAAAGAATAGATTTGCATTACTAGGGTCAATTTACTGTGAATGAGAAGAACTATGGATTGAAACCAGAGATACTGTATTAGGGAAGACTGCAAAAAGGGCATTGCTGTAGTAAAAGAAAAACTGTATGGATGACAGAAGAAAATTTGCTAAGAATAGATAAGTAAAAATAGAAGTTGACAGAAGTGACTCCAAATGTTGGGTTTTATTCCTTCTTGTTTAAAATTTTAGAAGTTAAAAATGCCTTGCATAAATTGCAGCATAGATTTTCCCCTGTAACTTCCCTTCTTCTGCACTGGAACCTTTCTCTGATGTTCAGCTCATGAAACCTTCCTTTTTAAACCCTGGACCATGGTTTCTCTGCAAAGCCAAATCGCCAAGACAGTTTGTCTGGTGGCTGTTATTTCAGCATGTTATGAAAGAAAACTTTATGCTCTTATAGCAGACTGGAATACATGTGCTACTCTGGACAGATACAGTGGTACCTCTACTTACGAACTTAATCCATTCCGGAACGGTGGCCGTAAATTGAAACGTTTGTAATTAGAAGCACCATTTCCCATAGGAATGCATTGAAAACCGATTAATCCGTTCCGGATGAAGAAAAAAAATCAATAAAAAAAGAAACACTGCAAGCTGAGAAAAACAAAACAAATAAAAAACAAACATAACCCCACCAGCCCAATCCCACCCTGCAAAAGCCACCCAAAACAGTTTTTAAAAAGCAGCACCTTACCTCCACCACTGCGACCGCTGCTGCCAGGAGGCCTCCTGGGCTCCAGCCACCGCTGCCGGTCCAGGGCTTTTCTGCCACCCCCGCTCCAGGCTTTCCCGGGGTACACCACAAGTGCCGCCTTTCTCCCCCACTGTGCGGCTTCTTCGCTGCCATGGGAGGCTTTCCTGGGGCTTGCCCCAATTGGCACCTTTCTCCGCCGCCATCCACTACCGGGCCAGGGTTTCCGTGCCACCAACACAGGCTTTCCCAGGCTGGAAGATCGGCCCTACCAGGGGAAGCCCTCCCCTGGTAACCTCTTAAATCTGAGGCAGAGGTGGCTACAGCCCTGGCGAAATGGCTTTTAAGGATGACAGGCAGCGATTTCTTGGCCAGTCAATAAGGTTGTGTGATTGCTTTTATGACCATACGGCACATCTAAGTAGAAATACCTTGTTCTTTCTCAAATCCAAAATATGCTTTTAAAAAAGCCAAAGTGACTTTCTGAAGGGATCTTTTCTCTGGACATAAAAATCCAACATTCTTTTTCACATTGAGCATGCAGAAAGCCTTATTTATTAGCATCAAGCAAGATGGAAAAAAAATAAGGGAATTGGGCAACATGGGCAGTATAGAAATCAGACTCTCAGACAGGAATGTTATACAGTGGAACCTCTACTTGTGAATGTCCCTACCTACGAATGATCTAATTTACGAACAGCTCCGGCTGCAAAATTTTGCTTCTACTTGCAGCCGGAACTTCAAGATCCGAATGAAAAAGGCAGGGGGAAAGGGCGAGAAATTCAAACCATTGGTGGCAAAGAGGCTGCTTCTTTGTAGCTCTTTCGCCCCAATGGTTAGGAAAACGGAGGCTCAACCTCCTGAGCTTCCAGCGCTGCTGCTGCTACTTTGATCCAGTATTATTGTCCTGATATCAGTCTTGGAGGAATGCTTCCTTTGGAGGAGCAGTTCCTCCTATAGTGGACCACTGAGTGAAGGTGCCTACCTGCCTGCCTTTACAGCCTTTCAGAGGTGAACTCACTAGTCTTGTGAATGCATATAGAGCACAATGAAGAAAACAGTTTACTACCTTATTTGTAAGGTTTGAGCTTCAGATGGTCACTTAGGCTTTCACACCACCTTCCCTTCCTCTCCCTTTAGCACAAGTTGTTAAATAAAGCACTGCTGGTTTGTAATCTGATTTTTTAACTGAAGATAAATTTATTTATTTATTTATTTCATTTATATCCCGCCTATCTGGTCGTTACGACCACTCTAGGCGGCTTACAACACAAATATAAAACAGGTGTATGTATAATAGAAAATAAACACATTTTACAATAAACACATTGATGCAAGTGCTGTAGTTAGGAAGGGTAAGCTGCTGCCAAAACTGTCCATCTGGAAAGTTGCCAAAGATGGCTCTACGCAGGTGCAGAGCCATAGGTTTGAATGCAGATTAGCCATTCAGAGGACAACTATTAAAGGTGAGCAATTTGATTTCCCCTTTGATGTCTGAACCGAAGGAAGTGTGGTCCTTTCTTTCTTTCTTTCTTTCTTTCTTTCTTTTCAGATGGGAAGTCCCTTAGAAATTGGTATAGGAGTTGACATGCGATTCAAACTCGAAATGTAGGATAGCATATTAAATGTCATTCTGGCATAAAGTCTTCTATCTTAGTTTTTCAAAACAGACTTGACCTTCATAATATTTTTTGTATTTTCCTCCTGTTTCCCATGAAAATGGGTATGGAGGTTAAGATGGTGTTTCAGTGTAAAACATAGAATTGAGTTCTGAATGTGTGTCCTAGTCTCATTCACTATACTGCATCATAAAGTTTTGTGTGTTACTTACACAGAGTTACAACATAGTAGCCATTTCCCCATAATAAAACCTACATATATTGTGTTATCTGTGCAGAATTCACTGTTGGTGTATAAGCACATTTGTCTTGTAAAATTATATTAATTAATATGATCTTATTTCAATTTCCACTAGGAGCTTTTTATCTTGTATTTGAATATATGGATCATGATCTGATGGGGCTTCTGGAATCTGGCTTGGTCCATTTTGATGAAAATCATATTAAATCCTTCATGAGACAATTGATGGAAGGCCTGGATTACTGCCATAAGAAGAATTTCTTGCATAGAGATATTAAATGCTCCAACATTTTATTGAACAACAGGTATGTATCCAATTTTGTAACAGTTTTATGGATAAAGTTTAGACATGCAGCAATAGATTGTTTTCTAGTATTGCCAATTGATTGGGCTGAATGACCCTTAGAATACTTTGCAACTCTAATTCTGTGATTCAGTGTTTACATTGTGGCAGAATTTGCAGTGGTACACTGTTTATTTCATCTACTGAGATTTACTTCAAAGATGGCCATGCTTTCTAGCAGAATTTCTAATTCAGTAGAGAAACAGGATGCATAGGGATGGTCCGACGTATGTACCCTATTGCTTAGTGTAATCATACTCTTGTTATTCTAGCAGACAGGTATGATTTTGCTGGGAAACAGGCTTTCTGTGTGCCTTGTTTCCTCAATAGGATCACTGGCATTTCTGCAGCACCCATGGGAGAAGTGGGGCAAGAATGCAGCTTATAGAGTGCCCTCCCAATCACCAGAAGGTGCTCAGCCATGCTTTATATTGAATTATCTTAAGTAATTTTAAAAAATGAGCAATGTAGTTATTCTAGCTTTTTTTCATTCTCAACAAAGAGTGTCCTCTGGCTATTTTGTTAGCAGTGATAGCTAACTGGAATTTCCATGTTCAGGGGCAAGTATACCATGGCTGAAATCTTCTTGCACCACTCTGTGTGCTTGGTGGGAATGATGGCAGCAGCAGCAAAATACCACTGAAATTGCTACTGTTTAAAGGCAGTTTACGGGTGTGTATGACTGATACACAATGCAGTTAAGTTGTGTGCACCCTGCAATTCTCTTTAATCAGTGCTGACTTGCTGCTACTGCTGATGTAATCTCTGTTGCACACAGAGAGCTTCACAACAGTATTTTAGCCCATGAATACTAGATGCTATGGGAAATGACCTATTGTTCTGTACATATGTATTGGTCAGTGCATTTGCAAAGCTCCATGTAAACAAATGCTGGGTTAGAAGGTCTAGCAAGATTATTCTTAGATTCTTTGGTTCATTTAACACATAGTGTGAATATGAAATTTACATAGGTGTTTAGCTGTTACATTGAGCCTTTGAATATTGGTGCTGAGAATAAAATTTTAATGAAAATGGGGGTATCTGCATAAGGCTTGCCATATTGTCAGACAATCATGAGGCCTACTTCTGCATATACATTATCTTATTTGTGTGAAGATGGAGTAGTGGAACTGTGTTATCCACTGGTGTTGAGTGCATTTTTCAGCATATAATGGGATGTGCATATGTCGTATCCGTGAATCTGCTTTTTTTCTTCTCAGTCATTACTAATATCCTTTATATTTTGCATACATTCATAATTTTGCCCTTGCAGTGTTCCTCTACATTGAAACTTCATCAGGGTGGAGATGTGTGTATGTTTTTTTCTTCCTCTTTTGTAAGGAGAAAGGATCATTTTGTTGTCATTCACTAGGAAGGCAACTCCTTTATGAGATACTTCATTCTGTTTTGCACTATTGGTTGCTTAATTCCTTTATTAATAGCTTCATATATTGATCTAATTGTATGATCCATCACTGTGGGAGTGCACTTTGAAAAATACCCAACACACAGAGAGAGACACATGCTGTTAATTTAATAAATAAAATAAATTGAGGGCATCCCCATAATATTCTAAAATTAGAAGGCCCATTGAAACTGTAATTTAAAGACACAACAGAAAATAAGTAGCAAACATCATCATTTGGAATTTAGTATTACTTTTACAGTGATAAGTAACAAACATAGCTTCCAAGCATTATCAACATAATGTCGTGTAGACAATTTCCCCTGCAAGCTGCACACACGTAGCACTGGATTGGGACTGCGCAGCTGAGCCAGTTTTGATGGCCATTTACTTGCGGTCATGGCAGGAAGCCCTTGTGCATGGGATGGGGCCCCCATCCAGTGCTCCAGAAAATTAAGAATGTTTGCTTGTAGAAATTTTGAAAGAAAGAGAAATGTGAGAGAGTATGAAGATGCTGCTCCACACACCATGAACCCCCAGAGTAGTTTTTTTGGTACCATGATATTGAAGAATCCCATTGAATCATAGTCTTTGAGTTTATTGCTGCTCAGGTAATGAACAGGCAAGAATTTGAAAATGCTTGGTGCTGTTTTTGTTTGTTTAGTTTGTTACTAAAATTGTATAAAATCTTTACTCTTTCCACTAGAGGGCAGATCAAACTAGCAGATTTTGGCCTCGCTCGGCTGTATAGCTCTGAAGAGAGGTAAGTGTAATATTAATCTTAAGATACACATCTGTACTGTTTAAGAGTGCTCTGGGAAATACTTATTGAGCGGAATTTTAAAACCCGCATGAAGATTTATAATATGCACTGTAATGAAAATAAAAGTAAATTTTAAAATATATTTCCATATTTTAAATAAGGTTTGCTTATATATATCATTTTAGAATGGTATGTCTGAACTAAACTGGAAACAATTTTTTTTGTTTAGTCATTATATATTTTTAAATGTTTTGGTATAAGTTCAGACTCAAAATACTTGGGACTTATTAAAATCAGTGGAACTAAAGATGTCATCATGACTAAACCCATAACCTTTTGTCATTTGGGTCTTATCTACTCATTAGATAATATATTAATAAAATACATTACTTATTCTTTGTTGGGTATAAAATCAGAAATTCTACCTTACAGGCCTTTGGGGGAATATGCAATAAAACATGAAAACTTTATATTATGCAAGGGACAAAGGAACAAGGAGATGCAATGACATTTATGAGTTGCAAACAAAACAATTTTTCTGCCTATTTAAAGCAGAGCAACAACAGAGGCAATCCCACCTACCTTGAGGGGGAGTTCCACAGTTGAGGTGCTGCTAATGAAAAGGCCCTAACCCTAATAATGATCAGCATATCCTTTCTAGGTGGGGAGAAACATATTATAGGGCTTCAGACAAGAGTAAAACATTAACTTAATTTTCAGACTCTAACATTTTGTTTATCAAGTGAAATTTAAATTGCATTGCACAGTCCTGTTTCAGTTCTTCTAGCTTTACAGTGGTATTGGTACATTTAAAAATTGTTTTATATCTAAAATATCATTACAGAAGTGTAGAAGAAACACTTCAGAAAGAAATCTGACTGTGAATCATGCAACTGAAAGAACTTCAGTATTGCTGAAATCTTTCCTACCTAATACAAATGGTAACAGTTAACTGTTTTTGAAGCCTTGGAGGTCTAGTTCTTTCAGAGGTAGCAAATGTTACTCTGCATTATACTACCCAACTGCAGGTAGGGACTCTAGAACCCTTGTAGTGGCCTGCTCCTCTCACCATGCAAATAGCTTGCTCCTGTGTTTTTGTGTGAACAGTTGCTGTGAGCAGGCTTCCTGATTTGCAAGGAGGGAGTGACAAAGCAACAATACAGTGGACCTTCGACTTACAAACGGCACCACTTACAGACTTTTCGAGTTACAGACTTCTCTGGCCACAAAATTTAGGTTCGACTTGCAGCCGGAGAACCGACCTACAGACCGGAAAAAAAACCCAGAATGGAACAAAAACAGCCAGTTACGGATTAATCGGTTTTCAATGCATTGTAGGTCATTGGAACCTCGACCTACGGACTTTTTGACCTACAGCCACCATTCCAATACGGATTAATTCCGTAAGTTGAGGGTCCACTGTATTTAGAGATTCAATAGACAGTCTCTTCAGCGGACAGATCAAATTAGTTCATTGCTTTTATCAGGATGCTAACAAACTGGACAAAGATATGTATCAAAATTACAATTTCCAGGGTGCTGATCAGAAGTGAGCATGAGAGGTGCATATCATGCAGTAGGCAGCCATTTGTGTGACTGGTTACTTTTATGCATTCAGAAGCCTTTAATTACTTGCATTGGTATGCCAGCTGGTCTGTCATGGCACATGTAGGCAGCTCACTATCTCATACAAATTGAAACTCAGTCCAGACCAGACGGAAGTGCTGTTAGTGGGTGTTTTGCTGGACTGGCTGGAGAGCCCTTTCCCTGCCCTGAATGGGGTTACACTCACCCTAAGGGACAGGGTCCGCAGCCTGGGGGTGCTCCTGGATCCCAGTCTAACTCTGGAAGTCCAGGTGGACTTCATGGCCAGGGGTGCCTCCCTTCAGCTGTTGAAATTATACCAGCTACGGTCCTACCTGGAGCAGAGTCTCATGACAGTTACACGTATACTGGTAATATCCTGTATAGATTACTGCAATGCGCTCTATGTGGGGCTGCCTTTGAAGACGGTCCTGTGAGTGCAACTGGTCCAAAATGACCTGTGCAACTGGTGACTGGTGGGGCCACTAGGGAACACATCAAGATGATTCTGTTTAAATTACATTGGCTACCAGTTGCTGCCCGGGCCCAATTCAAAGTGCTTGTTTTGACATATAAAGCCTTATACAGCTTGGGCCCTGGATACCTGAAGGACCACCTCCTTCCATATGAACCTACCTGGCAATT